TCAGTTTTTGCTGGGGAGGGAGGTTGGTCACAAATGAGACATACTCGTTGCTTTTATAAAAAAAATCAATCCGAAAAAAAACCCGAACTACTTTGTTTTCTAAATTTCAAACGATATTAAATAATCTATTTTATTGTGCTACACTATAGTTTTTTAAAGTTCTAGTGTATATATACATGCATTAAGGGGGTTGATTTTTGCATTACGGTTTAGCCCAGGTAGTGTCGCAGCTTCTCGCAAGAACGATTTTCATTGGCTGAACTTTACAGTACATTTCTGTTTCAACCAATAGCATAGCTTCGTTCTTTAAAAAAGCATTATCCAATTGGACGAAAGCTTCCGAGCGGGCCGCGAATGTCCCCTGCTTAGACTGCGTAATATCGCTGTAAGGGGGGGTGACACCTCTCACATTTACTTCAATGGTTCAACCATGCAAGATCAATCCGAGTAAGTTAACCTAACCTGGATTTGTTCCAACCTTAACGATGGATTTTCCCTGCGTCGAACAATGGTTAGAACAATGACGTTTCACGAAATTGTTTCGCTACTAAGACAAGAATGCTTCACATTATGCAATTATAGCTATGATTCTGGTATAAAGCATCATGATCCTAGTAGGTTCCGCGAGTAAACAATATGAAAATCTGTGACGGGCCTAACCTTACGATTTAGTGGACCTGCTATGCAATTAAGTTATCATTATTAATTTGTTTAGAAATCGATTTCTTTGTTTTCACAGTTTTTGAACAACAAAATATTAGCATAGCGGGACTTAATCGTACTAGGCCAAATGTTACATGGTCCTTGGTCCTGCTAGGAAATTGCTCTTCAGCTTTCTTCCTTACAGAAAGCAACCTGTCAGAGTGAAATAATTTATTTGTAGAAAGCACCACATGTATATTTGTTTTTATGCTGAGCTTTCAGTCTGTAAACCCGAGTTTGAGTTTTTTATCACATAATAATTATAGTATACCGTGAACTCCTTAAGATTTGCCTCGATGTGCTCCACGTCAGTATCCATTAGAGTCTCTTTTCGGAATACTTGAATGGCTTCCTCTATTCCAATTTCATGTTTCTTCATTACTGCATTTTCATCACATGGAAAAGTTCGACTTAATGGGCTTAAAATTTTTTCGTAGGCCATGATTGCTTTTTCTCCTGTTCAAAGTAGAAGAACACATCAGAACTAAATAATTTATTAAACCTTTCAATCTTTGCTCAAATGATATGGGAAAAGCGATATATCCGAGAAAAGTTTTTTTGCGCATGCAGGACCACCTTACCAGCCCTTTTGTACGCCATCTTGACAGTTAATTCCCAAGCTGATTGCCAGTCTGGGATGTAGCCCTTTGTGTTCAGTGCATGAACGTAGCTTTCAAGCATATCCGCCAATTCTACAAAAATTAAGTAGATGTTGCTGACGACAGTGTTATTGTAGATTTTTTATGTAATGCATGGGAAAATAAATAATAACTCTATGCTTAGAATGCAAAAAGGAAACTTTTTTGTAACGAAAAATTATTTTTGTGTCATTCGAAAGAACGCCATATATATATAGACATACGTATGTGCAAAATGTCGTAATGAGGTAGTCAATATTTTTAAACTTTATTTTGCCGAGCCAGATAGTGCTTGCAAATTCCTCATGGGCATTGCTAAATGTGTTCTTATCATGAAAATCGTGGTGGATTTTCCCTGCGTGGGGCCAAAAACTAGAACATAGAGATACAAGTTTTTATAATTACTTTGCGAATTCCTTTTTGGCTAGAACCCTCGCTTTCAATATTCGTTAGACCCATTGGCGTATTTAGAGTGTACTCCAAGTGAATTAATTTTTTCATTGAATAATTTTTCACCGACTTTCATTTCAATCAGAGATGTCCATATAAATGATGAGATTATTTATTCAATTTTACTGTTTTTAAAGTTCTGAATTTAATTTAAAGGCTTGCTTATGAGCAAGGATTGATTTTACAAAATTAATATACTGCTACTTACGTGTTCCTGTAAGGAGGGAGTTATTAATCCCCTTTTTGGAATGATACTTTTCAGAGATAATTGTTTTTAGAATATCAAGTTTCACCAGGAACTCTCCATTGATATTCTTGTTGTTTTTTGGCTTTCCCATGTTCTTTAAGACATCTCTCTCGTGGGATGGAACAGGCAGAGTAAAAGCATTAATTGATCTGAAGAATGACTTGATACTCCTGCGAATTTCGTTTCTTTGATTTGCTGCTTGTGATATACCATTCTCGTTCTTTAGTATCTGTTAAGTACAATTGGTCAATTCATGTAGACGCATAACGATATTATATATAATGTGCAATAATAATTTTTTTCACAATGACAATAGAACTTTTCTATGAATTTGTGTAAACCGCAGCAGTTCATTTGTTGTTAGCCGGATAGAAATTATTTAACTCATATTTCAATTGAATTCCAGGGCAGGGGCGAGGGTAGACGCCTAATTATGGCGAATTTGTATATTCGTGTCGTGCTCAACTGTCTTTCGAAACCGATTGTTTTTAACAGGATTAAATTACTATTCCTCAACTAAACCAAATTAAGAATATTCATCGGTACAGCTGCTAAGAGTATCCCAAACTTGGTTGCGAAATATTGCAAAGTGTTAAAAATATCGCCGTGCGAAGTTGGGAAATTTGCATGGCAAGGCTTTTTCTTACGTAATATTAATTTATACAAAATCTTACTTCGTACGGCGATTATTATTTCTTATTTTGCTATATTTTGCAACTAAATTTTCGGATCATACTAATTTTGGGATGCTCTTTCCAGATATACTTCTTCATTTAATAGGGCATTCCGATTTTCATGGATCACCGGCAGTCGGCGATGTATTTTTTTTCAAAATCAAAAACACTTTATTCTTTAGTGATCATGAACAATAGCAATCGCCGAGTGTCGGTGCATGCAATAGTATAATTATACTGACGAAGGTCGAATCGTCGCAATACGTTATTTTCTATTTTAGAAAATCACAAGTTGTAGTGCATCAGATACCAAGTTAATTAAAGAGTCTGCCAAGCTTCGCCTTGATTATATTCAATATTACACCATAGGTAAAATCTCATTGAAGTTCTTTTGTAAATTACCTTTTGTTCAAGATAGGTTTTTATGTCTACTTGTTTTTTATTTTCGTTTGTAATGTCAAGAGTGACGTCTCGGATGAGCCAAAAAAACTCAGGAGAATATTCCTTAAATTTTGCCACGTCCTCGCTGGTATTCTCTGCGTCGCTACGAACACGGATGCTGTAGGAAAGCTTTGACACGTAACTGAAAGTTAAAAAAATTGTATTGGTTGCCGCTGTTAGCACGAATATTCTAGCTTTTTAGAACCAAACTAAAGATACTGAAATAACAATGCTCATCAGGTAAACCCAAATCTCGAAAACTCGCCTGCGCGAGCCTCACGTCAGCGTCATTTAAAGTAGCTGAGCAGCACATTTAACATCAAAATTTGCCTAATTTTTAGTATTATTAATTTCATGTACTGTGTATATACATGTATTATTAATTTCATGAACCTGAATTTTTATATAATATTTATATTGATACGTGTATTACTCACTGTAGCTTTTCCAAATCAGAATTGTTAGGAACATTCTTACTGTTGTAGATCAGTAAGGAGCTCAGTAACACACTGAGCGTAAAAATCTGGTTATCTGTAGCATCTGTTGAATCTTTGCTGTCGATTGAGCCTATACCCTCTGAATCAAGAAAGACAAGAGTCGTTTCCTCGCCGGTTGTTAATGACTTCCTGATTACCTTTTTTCCAATCCAAATACCTGAACAAATTGCGATAATTCAGCTAAAACGTGACAAATTAATACATACACAAATCCTAGCCCTTAACCCAAAAATTCAACCCTGTACTATAAGCGCGGAACGGATGTCTTTTGTATAATTTCAGTTAGACACGTATTAAGTCCCAGGAGAATATTCCCCTAAATCAATTGATTGAAAAATCCTGCCTAGAGCAGTGGAAGCCCGCATTAAGTTTTTTGTATTTAATTCACATTTCAAAATTATTTTTGTACAGAAAATTACGCGTGAGCAAGTAATGGGGATATGTTTTCCCATGCACCCACTCATTCTTCAATTTAATACTCAACCCCGTACCCAGGGCTCTTACTTTGGTCTCAATTTGACTTGCTCTGCTACATATTAATAAAAATTAAAGCGCGATACCCATTGTTTCTGCCTTCATTGTGTGACCAAGACGGAAGGTACTACCCTGCAGTTGCCCCAACAAGTATGATTTTCCCGTACGGGCAGGACCGACAACGCAAACAATGCAGACAGGGCCAGTTATGGAGCGTAATATTTCAAGACCCTGAGTGCATACTGCCAGCCCTGTGCGATTGATGTTGTCTACTGGTTGAAGCTTCGCTTCGTCGTCATTCCATTTATAATTGTTCGGAATGCAAAGTGGTATAGCTCCGTTTGTCTCCTCCTCTGATTGTCTCATGCCACTCTTTATCGAAAATCTTGAAAAAGCATTTTCCAAAGAGTTCTGACGCTCAAAGCTAAGATACAAGATTAGAAATTTAGTACTTTATCCATGCCAACGAACATATTAACGTTTTTCTATATTTGTGGTTTGTCTAGCTTACTGCATATTTTAAATCTCTCGGCGTCTTTATGACGTGTATAAATCGAAGTAAATGGAGGTGATTTACGATAGAATTTCAAAAACAAAAACACATAGCTATAGTTCATGTAATTTTGTACCACCGTAATGCAATAATGCATCGCTTCGAGCTTAGGTGAATAAGGTGATGTGTTCGCAGGATCATTTGTTGGGGAAAAGGCACTTTTAGGGTGATTGTTAATAGGCGGGCTATTAATAAGCGGTGCAGGTTTTAAGAAATGGAGAAAAGTAAAAAAAACCCCGTGAAAGTTATTATACATATTTTCACGACTATACAAATTGTCTTTTACCTTTCAATTTCTTACCTGGGCAGACCTGAACTAATTATCTTCAATTTTTCAAGAAGTGACGCTAGTTTTTCTACAACCCCAAATTTGTCACCGTTATCATCGATGTGAATATCTAGAAATTGTAATGTGTCTTTGTATGTAAAACTGAGCATGGCCCAACCTCGTTCCCAGGGCCTTTTTGGGACTTTGTATGGGGGGCTGGGGCAAGAGGAGAGAAGAGAAAAGGCCCCGGGATCGGGACGTTCAAACTACGGCGTTGCGTAGAACGGATACTATATTGTAGCATTTAAGCATATTGGAATTCTATACTATTTATATATTTCGGAATAATTCCGCTAACTACACAAATTAAGAAGAATCGTTTAACCAATCAGAAGTCAGAAGCGGCTGGCAAATCCCAGGTTTTTACGCTAGAACGACGGAATTGGTTTCATTTAGTTGTAAATATTTTTGCCTCGGAGCTGAACCTTGAATAAATAGGACGTTCTAGTAAAGGCGTTTTGCAGGCTATAAATATAAATAAATGAAACTTGTACAATCTACATGAAATAAAAACTCGCTATTTTATTTAGACTGAACGGAATACAACTCTATAGGTTCACCTCCGACCCAATTGTCTTTAAAGTCAACCATGACAAAAATTTTATCAAGTTAGCTTTATTATTTTTTTATTGATCGTGCACGAAACAAGGGGAATCAGAATTTTAGTTTCCTAAAGACTTCTCGGTGTTACTATTCGTGACGATTTTAAGTGGATAGATCATGTTAAAACCATAACTGCCAAGGCCTCAAAGCGCTTATATCTCTTAAGACAACTTAAAAGAGCAGGACTCAGTGTTGATGATATGAAAGCCTTTTATTGTAGTGTTGTCCGATCAGTACTGGAATATTGCTGTCAATTGTTTCATAGAAATCTCCCCAATTACCTCTCGAATGATCTTGAACGCATTCAGAAGCGTGCATTGCGGAAAGAGGCATCTATTCCCACCCTCTTTGACAGGCGAGAAATGCTATCACAAAGTCTTTTTAAAGATATTGTTGTCAATGGAAACCATAAACTTGCTGGTTTACTTCCCCCTCGTAATAGCTGTAATGGTTTTCTGAGAAATGATAGAACTTTTTACACGCCACAATGCCGAACAGATCGTTTCAAAAACTCTTTTATAATGAGTTTTAGTACTGAAGCAAATTTTGCTAATTGATAACAAGTTGTATATATGTATTGTTTCCAATTTTAAATGATTGTATATATCTATTCTAAAGAACGCATAATTGTGACTTTGACTAAAAAGGACTAAAAAGTTGTAAATATATATTGTTTCTTATTTCATTATGTATTTTAAATTATCGTATATATTTTTATGTAAAAGACACATAATTCAATCTTATGACTGCCAGTGTCCTTTTTTCTAATAAATCTTTTTAAGAAAGCGACGGAATAATATATCTTTCCCGTAAAAGTAAATAATGCATAATAGACCAACTTACGATCTAGGTAACAACAAGGAAATAAATCACCACAGCTAAAAAGAGCATACCAAAATTACTTAAATTAGTATAATTGCCAAGTTTGGTTGCCGAATGTGAAGTAATACGGAAATAGTCAATATAGTCATTCATGCATGCAAAGTAGCCTATTTCGTATACTTTTTTACTACGGCAAAAATAATTACTAAATTATTTAAACGCTTCCGGCCGTAGTAAAAAGGTATACAAAATTGTCAAATTCGCATGGCTATATTTTCCCCACTTTACAATAATTATTTCTCAGGCAAACTTGGCAACTTTACTAAGTGTAATATGCACTTTTCGGAAGTTCCCTTTTTGTCGCCTAAATCGAAAATTGGTCACTTACGCAAAAGGTCTATTAAGTTCATTTGCAGTATATATTTACAAACCATATGGAATTTTCTCAGATCCATATATAGTCCTGAGCTCCCGGATAATTCTATTCTGAAGAGGAGCTATTTCATGAATACAAATCGTTTTTTCTCGTGCCCGATTTTCCATCTTTTCCTCGATCCTTCCTTGAAAGTCTGACAAATATTATTAATTGTCAATTTGTGTGGCGAAAATATAATAAACTTGTATTCAAAATGCTTATCACTTATATTGTTTTTCAGTGCTATTGGAAAAGAAATTCATAAGGCTTGATTTCCACTTAAAGAGAAAATCGTTCGCTAGCGAAATATTTGCATGTTTTCTTTTGAAATGTGGACAGTCAAGCAAGAAAATATGTTAATATTTCACTAGCGAACTCTTTCTCCGCAAGTGGAAATCCACCCTAATGCATTCTCTTTTGCCTTTTGACATCGTCTTGGGAAACATCGAAACATTTGGAAAATAAAGCTTACTATTTCCCTTGGAGGCATACATTATAGGCGTATAGCATTATGTTAACTTAAACTAGAAATACATGCATCCAGCAACCCTTGTCATTAAAGACCAAGCTGACGATTTCCTGACATGCCCAGATCTTGAAGATTACGATTCTCACAAGATTATGAAATGACTGCAATAGGTCAACAGCTATAATTTTTCAATTATTCGGAATTATGTAAACGTAAAATCGTTTGAGTATTTATGCAGCGAATATTTGCAGTCGGCTGTAAAAGCTTCGAAGTATATATGTGTTTGATCAAAATTAAATTTACACTTTCAAAATAACATAATTTGGATAACTTATACGCTATGTCATGCACAATATCCGGGTGTGAAGGCTCACACACACTGGACGCTATTCGCTAACGCGAGGCAAATTTTTCATTTTCATAAATAAATAAATTCAATTCTGAAAGATATGGGTACCAGTCCAGTCAAGTGTACCATCAATCGGTAGTTACCAAGAACAGACACCGCGGAAATTGGTCGGCAAGCTAAAAGATTTATAAATACTCAACAAAATATCTCACAAAAGATTTGAAGCTTGCACACGGCAAAAACAAATCATCTGAAAATGTCTGAAAATGTCTCAAAATGGCCATTTTACGGTGGCAGATGCATACGAAGAGCCTTCAAAAGTTTCCAAAACCGATATTGGAAGAAAAATTGAACTTGTTTTCAACTTATTTGATAGTATTTTCTTTGACAGCAGTTTCTGAATACTAGGATTCAAATGTGAGCAACTGATGAGATATTTTACTTCCAACACCAATTTCTGCGGTGTCCCAAGAACATCACAACATATTTGCTCTCCCGTCGCATATTGCTATCAGCTCACGTACGATCTGAGCTTATAGTATAAGGCTGCTTTCCCAACTTGCGTGTTTTTCATATACGCGCACGTAAAAATTCAAATCCTTATAAGAAATTTCCAGAAACATTTTCCGTGTTTCTATACAGTTACAACGAGAAATACTCTCCCACAAGTGTGTCCATAACTGTATAGAAACACAGGAAAAATGTTTTCTATTTCGTTTATAATATAACTAAATAAAAACATTTTGTACAAGTATTATAATTCGACTCCATTACAAATTCTCACGTTGCTGCGCTTGTCACATTCGGCGGGAAAATTCCCGTGTTTCAATTACAGTGAAAGAAACACGCTTCTCGACCAATCAGCCAGCGCGTACTATAAATGTTATTTTATAAATAGCTAAGTTATTTTTGGGAAAAAACATTGTGAATAAATCGAAAGAACTTAGTTTCCACTTTCCCGCGTATTTTAAAACGCGTTTGTTCACGCATAAGTTAAATAATATCATTCTAATGCATTTATAAACTGAAATAATATGAAAAACGCGTAAGTGGGAAGCAACCTTAATTGTTAAATGTCTAATCCGGTAGCTCGATATGTAACTCAGCACTGTTTCTTCTCGGAATTACTGAATCAGAATAAACCTCTTTTTAAACTCGTTAAGACAATTGCAAAACTGCAAGTATATTGCCAGGGGAAACCCATCGCATCATATGACAATCAGGAAATGTCACAACAAAATCTAGCTTTAATTGTTTAGAAATCTAACTAAAACTGAAATCTAGCTAAAAATCTTCTTTCTAAAATTCACAAAGCAATTTTGCTTGATCGAAGCGATTACTGTAAAAACAAACGTTTAAATTGTGCCACGAATGTGATCGCTCTTAAACTGTGTTAAATGAGTTCACCCGATGTACTGATTTATGTTAAAATTCTTGCACAGTTGTACTGATGTTTCCCGGAAGATCAGCGAACGGAGGCTATACTAAATTGTATTTAATTTTACCAACTTACCCTGCACGTACTTCTTCTGAAAACGAATGTTACTACCGTCGAATCAGTGTAGGAAGCAGTCGCCGAACTTTATTTATGTATGGGGAATCCCAGTCACTTCTCGGTAAGACGAGTACCGGGAAAACCCAATCACGAAATTACTAACGAATCTTGTGAGACGCTGTGAATTGAGATCATCTCCAGGAATCTCCTTTCATTTAACTGTCAATGGTTTTGGAGAAATCAGAGAGAAAGAGAAATCAAATTCTCACCTTGCAATGCGGAAATTCCATTTTCCGTTTTGTTTTAAACTTTCGTTTCAAAAGTCTTAGTGAAAAAAATAGTTCTTAGCGATAACATGCGTCTTTTTCACTTCCGCGAATAATAAACGATAACAATAGCGTAAAAGATTCCAATTTATATTCATATATATGACACTACTCTGCCAATTTGCTATCCCTTTTATGCCACTTTTTGAGACTGCGCGTATATAGACCGAAATTTATGATAATCGTTTGATATCAAACTTCAGAATTCATTACGTGCTCCCTCTAACTGCCGTAGTACCGCTCGGATTCCGTCTTCATCCCTACCGATCGGCAGTGGGCAAATTATATAGTGTAAGAGTGTGGAGCTATATGTAGATTGTGAGTTAATTGAATCGCCTAAGGCTCCGTTAGAACGTTAATGACATGCAGAAATTTGTATTTTTAATAGTTTAGTTTCAAATATTTTAAAAAGACATGTACAACTTTTTTTCCTAAAACTTGTCAAGATGCTTGCTTTTTCTGTAATCCGAGTACGTTCTGTAATTGATAATAGATATATGATATTCGAGAATTTCTTTTCCACCGAAAATTCCAAAGGAGGAAGTATAAAGCGAAAGTGATATTTTTCACGTTTCGTTTAAAATGTGTTGACATGCGTTTTCCTGGTAGAGGTGTGCAACTTACACAGATGGCGTATTTTGCTCCCGCTGGTGTATTTTGCTTTCAGCTAGCTAGGCTGTGCGCGGTAACTTTAAATGACTTCGAAATTATATTCCGAAATTTCGAAATTCATAGACTAAAGTGGATCGGACAGTTTACATACGGTTTGACTATTTCAGTTATTATCATTAGATTATTTTGGTTATTAATCATTTCGCGGTTTGAATTAATTTAGCATGATCCTATTTGATTTGCATGAGAAGTGATTGAATTAGTGATTAGGTGTTAGTGCAATCAGAGAACAGAAGTATATCAGATTCATTGTGAGACAAGCGTGCGAGAGAACGATAGCAGAATTTGTGTGAGTTTGACAATCAGTGGAGATCCACTCTTCAGGTACCGTGAGCTGTGATTAAGGTTGTTTCTATAATAGTTTAGCTGTAATCTAATCAGAATCCAATCAATTTAGAATTTATAATATATTACGAAAAATCTCCATTGGATTGTGTTTATTTCGCCCAATTGGAAACATAAAGTTAAATAAATAATTCACATATTTTATTCTGTGATTGCAGTTGACCCTAAAATTTCTATAATTACTGTCCTATCAAAATTGATATTATTCGGTATTTGTGAAGCAAAAAAGTTTTCAGTTCACTGAAGCTGGTTTTCCACGAGCGATATTTTTCGTGTGAAACGACTTTGCTACTTTTTATTTGACAATTTCTTCCAGATGGTTGCAGTTGAGAGCTCTGAAACAAAAGTAAAATGTCGCCTCTGGCGAAAATTTTTTAGCTAGCTTCTATAAGTGTATTCCATGAGCCTAAAACATGTTAAACTGCCAGGCAATGTCGGGTAATTTTGGTTCACTTAATTCTGCTCTCGTTACATGAATAATGTATAGTTAACTTGAGAGTTGGGATCCTTCCTTTTATACATCCTGCAGATAAATTTGGCCACGAATTAGTTATTAATGTTATTAGTTATTAAGTATCGTGTCAACTGTCGAAGAAACTATTTTTTTGCTTTATCGGAAAGATAACCAGAAAGATAGTCGGAAAGATAATTTCTGGTTGTTTTTCGGGCATAGCGTCGTTCAAAACAACACATTTTGTCGCCTCGTGCTGGCTGGATTCTCTTGAATGGTCTAAGAGTTTGATTAAGCGAAAATTGCAGCGCATGAGTTCGCGTTATAAATTTGTAAACGAACTCATGTCTGCATAATAAAAATATTTTTAAAATGATTCAACATGTTGTAATGATTTAATAGAGACATTTAGGATTGCATGCAGAGTATCCGACGAATGACGAACCTATATAGTTTAAAACTACTTTTTATATATCCTGAATCGTAATAATCGGCTAAGGCAATTATGAAATACGTATTTAGGGGATGTAGCTATGAATCCCCTACGGGGCATGCTCTCCGAGTTTACCCAGGCGTGACAACAAGTATTAACATCAAAATCCCCGCGCATTTATATTTACAGCATGCTTATAATATAAAAAAAGGATAATGAACTGTGTAAAATATCATACCCGGTATATTAGGGGCAGGGTTTAAATTTATAAACGGCCAAGCAAACTTGCGACATAAAAGAGACAGTATAAAACTAGTAGTTATCCTAAGCTCGACTTGCTACCACTTTTTGAAATTGTAGTAAAAATTGAATATCTACAGTTACTCATAATTATACTAATTTTCATCTTCAGAAATTTTCTTACAATTTTGAAAAATGGTAGAATAACCCGGCCTGATAGCTCTACACTATAAAGTTCTACCAGGAAAAGCCATTGAAGCGCAAGTGCGCTGCGCAACCAAAACAGCAGCGTAGCAGACAAGCTCTTAAAAGATATACGTGTTAAGCAAAGCTGAAAGGCTCATAATAACCGCCGTAATAAATAATATATGCAATAATTTATGGTGGAGTCTCGGAAAATGAGAGGGCTAATTTATTTTGAACTTTGATGCAAATATTATACTTACAACAGCTAATGTCCGTGGTAAAGATTTCAAATTTTCAAATCAGAAGTCAAATTTCATGCGATGAGCGCTGTCATCAGGAATCGCTCCATACACGCGATAAACAGAACGACCGTCGGTCGTGAACTGTTGATATGAAATATATCGATATTTTTTCTCGTTGCGAATACGAGATGTCGCTGTAACTTGAACCACGTATGACGAGAATCAAATCTCCCAGAAAGATGATATTAAAATTTCATCGTCACGGAAAGTCGTAATCTTCGAAATAATCTTTGTAATTCTATTAGCAAGCTGTGGGCGAAAATAGGTGTTGCGATAAGTATATTTTTCACGGCAATATGTCAATAACTGATTGGGACGCGGTAGTATCAATAAGATAATCTTGGATTCGGCCAGGCGTCTGTGAAAATTTATGCAGCTCATTTTTTAAATCTAAACGTGCACATGTTCGTTCTGGAACTCCGTGATTTGCAATTTTTAAATAGTCCAGTGTGTGGTAACATCTAGCTAGGCTTGTTAAGTACAACTTAATACCCCTATGGCGATGTCATTATCGACGAGTACATGAATGCATGCAGATTATGCATAATTTATGCGGCGTCAAATAATTTTATGTAAGTCATTAGAATAACACGGTTACAAAAAAACTCATTAAAATATAAGTTTTGTCGACGAAATCTTGCCATGCAGTTACAGTGCAGGTGTTTAGGTCGTTCTGTTTCAAACGGTCAATTAATAACAATCGGAATGATTTATATAAAAGGTGTGAATAAAATTTCAATTGTTTTTGAAAAGAAATCCGAAGGAGATTTGAGATAAATTAATATAGGCGGTTTGCGTGATCTGGATGCGCGGCTTTTGACTGACGTTGCGACTACCGTATCTCGCGTTAAATCGCATTATTATAGACATTTTACGTAGCCATTATCAGCAGATGAAAAATGTTTGCGTCTGAAAGAGAGGCATTTTTCACCTGCTGCAAATATGATCCAACGCGAATGATAATAAAACAATTAAAAAGTCCATTGGAGGCCGGTCTTTTTATGTTTCATGTTTTAATTATAGGAAAAAATATATAGGCCCACGGGTTGAATTTCCACTGATAAGTTGAAGTGGACTTTGGAAATCGCAGCAAACGCAACAATCTCTGTGTAGTGGAAGCAAGCTGAAGATATAATGAACAATTCTACACAGAATGTTGTTTTTATTGAAAATTGTATGACCGCGTTTGGAAGGGCGAACAAAATCGTCGTGCAATTTCCGTCTGACTTTTATCTGGTCAGTCATGTTATGGTTATTGCGATCAACAGTCTTTTAATAATTCCAACTATAGCACTGAACAGCGTCTCTTTAACCGCGATTATGAAATCATCTCGGCTAAAAAACAAACCGTGCTACTATCTCGTTGTTATCCAATCTCTGGTCGACCTGACGGTCGGTGCTATTGGCATTCCAATATTTATCTTCTACAATGTCTCTCCGATTGTTGGGTTTTTGAACTGCACCGTAAGCTTTGTCGTCGCGCAAGCATTTTCATTCCGAGCGGAGTATCAATACTAACGCTGTCTGCTATGACAATGGAACGGTATGCCGGTGTCTTGCACCCGTATGCATACAGCAAACAAGTTACTAAAAAAAGGATTCTGTTTTACGAATGCTTCGGTAGCTTCTTCATTATTTCGCTGGTTGGCATCTCACTGCAAATTAGAAAGGTCATCACAAACTTCTCTGTTATTTTGATATTAATTTTTTTCATCCTGAACACCTTCGTTTATACCAGGATCTATATTGTCGTTTTGAAAATAGCGCGCTCCGATAAGGTGCGAAATAGCGGTTTCAGGGAGGAAGACGCGAGCAGAAAAGAAAGATTTCTCGGCGAAATAAAGCAAGCGAAAACGTGCTTTCTCGTGCTAATGTGTTTCGTTGTATGTTTCCTTCCGTTAGCACTTGGGGGCTTTTTCAAGATACGCGGCTTCAACTACATTTTACATCAGACGTGGTCGATGACGTTAATAATGTTGAATTCAAGCGTGAATTCTGTCATATTTTTTTGGATGAAAAGGGAACTGAGGGTGCAGGCGTTGCATGTTTTAAGAAGATCGGTGGCACCGTAGAAAAGTATGGCACATGCTT